TACACTCCAGCAAAGATGATGTTTGGTTGGGAACTTCGGTTGCCAGTGGACCTGATAACAGGGAGCTAGTTAGCCCTATAGTCTTCACTGTTCATACGCCTATAAGAGATTGAGTTTCCACTGATGACTTTCGGTAATGTTTTCATAAAAATATTAATGTCCGATGTGAATCCACTGAAGTTAAATGATTTGTAATGTTCGAACGCAACAAGTATTACTTTACAAAATTTTTAAGAAGATGAAGTATGGATGTAAAAGTTTTGAAAAGGTTTTCATAATTCTTTAAAACTTTTAAACCCATAATTAGTAGCAAGAGTGTTAGTGAATATCATGCAAAATTAAATGAATTTTGTGTTCAAAATACAGTAGAAGAAACCTTGTTTGTGAGAAATGCAATTAAGTTTTTGGACTCTGTCCACAAAGTCTTGTAACAACAAATTCTGTTTTATTTGATAAGCTGTGAATACTAAACATTGTAACATAGCTTGTTTGTATTTGGAAATGGAAAGTTTATAACTTCAGAGTTAAAAATGTCTGTTTTATTGAAACTTTTAAGTTGAATGATTCATTAATAATACTAAAATCCAAATCCAGCTAGTGTGCTTTAGTTTTAGTGAAAAAGATTTGTTTCCTAGCATGAGTTCTGATGGATAAATTTGGGTATGTCAAGAAAATCTTGATAATTAGGTATAAGAATAAGTATCATCAGTATATCTACAGGTACAATGGATGGGCAGCTCTTTTTCTCACTAAGATTTATTATGTATGAAATATCAATTTTGCATAAATACTGTCTAAAAATGGTTCACACGCATTATGCGGCAGGAGAGATGAAGCAATGTTCACAAGGTTGGAAACAATGATCATCAGAGAGCTCATGAGGTACCCAAGCACCTTCTTTATGGAGTTTTTCCATATTCCTTAGATGTTTATGTATTGTTTCATGAGAGGCATGCAATTTCTGGGCCATTTCATAAGTGTGTTGCCTTGGGTTAGACTCATCAAGCGTCTTCAGAGCATCAATATCAATTCCAACATGTTGGCCCCTGCCATCACAGTTTTTAAAGCTAAAGTCACCTTAACGAAATTTGCTGAACCATCGTTGATACTTACAAACGTTCAAAACATT